ATATAACACAGTACTAGATCTCTTCAATAATTTTAACAATATAATTTTCACACATGAACTACAAAAAAACAACAGACTTAATTTCTTGGATGTATCCGTTTACAACACTAATAAACTTTATTCGAACAATTGGTATAGAAAAACTACATGGTCGGGTAGATACTTACACTATCCTCATACTGTCCCAGAAACTATAAGATAAACACTATTATTTCCCTTACAGACCATGCTATTTGTTGTCTCACCAAACTTTCCATCCACAAAATTTATCCCTAGTAAAAATAACTCTAATTGAAAATGGTTACCCAAAAAATCTCATTCATCAGTTATTCAAAAAAGACGAACTTTCTTAAAAACACAAATTAATTCTCCCAATACCAGTACTAACATCAAAAACACCAATCTTATTTACTGCAGCATACCATACGTTGAAGATTTATATTATTATTTTGCCAAATTTTGTTAGAAGAAAACATTTTAGTATCAGGCTCATCCTTACACTCCTTCAACCAATTCTTTACGAACATTAAATCCCCCCCATCCAATCTCAATACTAATGTAGTATATTCTGTTTCTTGTAATGACTGTGCTTTTCAATATATTGGACAAACCTCAATATGTACACAAGAGAATGAGACAACATGAACTTAGTGTGGTCCACCATAAACAAAAAAATTTCAAAAGTACCCTAGTACAACACTCTATAGAAAACGCCCATTCATTTAATTTCACTCCAAAGATTTTATATCATGAAAGTTGCATCTTTAGAAGGTTATTCGCGGAGAGTTGTCTCATTCTCATAAATTTTTCTAACAGTGTCAACATTAGATCAGATCACAACCTATTACATGATTCATATTTAAATTTTTTACACTTTTTGACAAACAATTAATATCGACTTCCTTTTAAGATCAACAATTTAAGTATTCACACCCTAACATATAAAAACACACACATACAATCTCACATCTCTCGTTCAAGTGTTTACACGTGTTACAAAGGACACACCAGTTTCAATTAGTTAATTTTCAAAAGCCAATCGAACAACATCCAGAGAACAATATTATTTGTGTTTTCAAATAATAATTTTAAAAAACACAAATCTTTTAGTAATTTTGATTTACAAAATCTAATTATTCGGCGGAAAATTAACTCACAAATTCATTTTTGTTAAAAAAAAAAAAAAAGCTTGTTTAGTGAAAAAAGTGCTAACAAATATTCAAACATACAGGTAATAATTCAACTTTGTCATTAACCTTTTCTAAAAAAATTTCCATAACTTTCAAAAAATTTTCTATTATGTTTTAATATCCTGTTCTGATAATCCACTCATTTATTTATCATTTTTATCATTTCATTTTGAACATATTATCATATTTCTGTACATTATTATATTTTTTTTACAATTAATTCATTATTTAAGAAAAATCTATTTTCTTTTCCTAACATATTGTTTGCTAAAATCTCATCAAGATCATGTTTCTTGACAGATGTCCTGAAGATGGAACGTACCTAGTTCCGAAACGTCGACAATAAACAAATAATTAAATAAAGAAATTGTTTTTTTAAAAACTTTTCTTGTTTTTTATTTGTATTATTTTTGGATTCTTGTTCGAAACTCTACAAAAATACACAAATCCAAGACTCTACCATTCAATATATAATGTATATATTGTATGATATATATATATATATATATATATAATGGTAGTAGTGCTGCCCTAGGGCAGGTCCGTGAGCTGAGTTAAATTCCAACTCGATTCAAGAGAGAATAGTGTGAGAGTTTTTCCCATTTCCATTTCACACCGTAGTGCCCGAGATGGGCTTATTTCAATTGGAAACATATTTTGATCATATTTTCAATTGAAAATGGACATCGCGCTGCCCAATGTCAGATCAGAGATTTGAACGCGCGACCCTGTCCATACAAAGTCAACGCAATTATATATATATATATATATATATTATATATATGATTGTGTTCTTTTCCAACAGTAAATCCAATAATAAAAAACAATTTGTTTTTTGAAGATGTTTAATACGACGTTTCGGAACTAGGTACGTTCCATCATCAGGTTTATTCTGTCAAATACAATGTTTTTTAAAAAAAAAAAAATATATAAAAATAATATCGAAAAGCCGACTACGATTATTTGTATTAGTTAGAAAAGGGCTGTTTTTAGGGGTTTCTCGCCGTAAGAACCATCCTTGGACCTAAACGAACATTTTAAAAAAAGAATTGGCCAAATTAGTCCAGGCGTTGTTGAGTTATGCGCTTACCGACACATTTTGCGATCCATTTTTATATATATATATATATATATATATATATATATATATATAATCTATTATTGTAATTTCAATTTTTGCATCAAATTCTTGAAAGCATATATTAATTGCATGATAAGGTAAATTTACAAAATTTATTTCTAAGGTTGAAAATTTTTATATCAAATATTTAAATTTTTACAGTGGAGTTTCAGACTTACCACCAGATGCACCAATAGTACCATTCGATCAGACTTTATTGCGTGTGTTGTTAAAGACAATGCTAAATGGACTACCACAGGTTAAAACTGCATCGGCATTGCGTTGGTATTGTCTCTTATTGATTAGGTAATTATTTTTATCACAAAAAGATATTTTTGTTATTTATAATCAAAAATTATTTTGTTCTGTTTGTTATTGTGGAATGTTTTGGAGGCTGGTTATATCAAATTATCTACTAAATGAATAATTGTTTTAATAAAATTGTGAATCAATGTATAGTGACATTTTTGAAATTTAACTTTAGTTTGTATGTGGTAAATAGCTCATTGTTTTTAAGATTGACATAGAAAAAAGTGCTATCTGGATTTGATTCTTTCTAGTTTATTAAGTATTTAATTTAGATTTGCAGGTGCGGAGAATCGTGGTCCGCTCGCAGTTGTTGAACGCTGCTTAAGACTTTTACGCAAAGCAGCGATTGAGCGAAGTAAACGCAGATGTCCGTATACTGATTTGCTAAGAGCGCGATTTGGATTAAATGGAATGCCTTTTGATTCTGATGTTTTTGATGGAGAGTTGCCCCAACAAATTCAACAGCGAGGCCTCGACTCTATGCTTGGAAATAGAAAGCCAAAAGCGGTATCAGATTTAGCAGACATGGCAGGTAATAACATAGTTATGTGTATATATTTTGCAATAAATAAAATGTGGTGCACTCACACATCGATCTGATTTTGGGTAGAGCACCAGTAAGAAGTTGCAAAATGCTGATGATTTCATATTCTAGTGTTTGCACCAGATTTTCTAATAATATTCATTGCTAACAATTTATCTATTATCACTATAGTTATCTATTTTCATTGATAATATAGATAAAAAATCTGTTTTCAATTGAATATGGTCTTACCAGATATTTAAAAATCTCAAACTGAAATTGGGAATCAAACTAAAAAAGAAATTAATTTACAATTTGCCTAAAGCAGTGTACTCTCACACTATAAACAGGTGCAAACCATATGCAATTTTTCAATGTACATTAGCTTTTTATGTGCAAATGAAATCAACATAGAGTATTAATTTTTTACTCCGATATAACTAAGTTAGGTATAATTCAACACTAACACTCAACATGCACATACATAAAAACTAGATATTAAATTATAACATAAAACCTTTTAATCAAACTTCTAAGGGTTGGCCTGAAATTTAAATGTCTGTTGTGTTAAGTTAACAAAAAAAAGTTCTTATAATTAAATGTTAATTTATGGATAGATAAATTGAGACTTTATTTAAATTTAATATTTTACAGTTTGTGTCAATATAATAACAATATAATTTTTATCACATTATTATAATATGAAACATAATCTTAATGATACTTATTAACAACTCAAAAATTTACACTAATTATTTCATAATTAATCTAGATTAAAAAATTTATTAATCAAATAAATAGGTTGTTTTATAAGATTTATTTAGTAAAAATTATTTGACAGTCGCATTGAAAACGTTTCTGCTTTCACATTTCTATTAATACAATGTTAATTTCAAAATTACAGCTAAACCTATTCCCTGTACAAAAGGATTACGTGGTTTAGGAGAAGTGCAACCTTTGCACTTTATTTGTAACTCTGCTTCTGAAGGTACAAAATTAGAAAGACTGCAAAATAGTGGTACCAATACATGTTTCAATTTCGATGGTACACATAATATATTATTCAAACAGTTTGATCCAAAGGATGTCAAAGAGGACGTAAGTCGATGAAATATTAGACATAATTTTTTTCTTGTAATATATAATTAAACAAAAAATAATGATTGAAACATAATTGTAAGAAAATTATATATTTTTTCAGCAAATATTAGAATCCTCGGCATTATCTATGAACTGCAAGCTAGGTAAACTATTACTATCAGTGGAGAAAGAATTAGCAAAAGCTAAATCAACATTAGGTCACAAAGATATTGACATGGAAGTATCTGATTATCAACCAGGTGATTATTTTAATTGTATTAATAAATCATATGTAACTTCAGTAAGCACGTGTATAAATACATACATGTATAAATTAATTATATGCTGTAGTTTATAGACATCACTAGAAGTTGATAATATAATAATTTACAAGTTTAAAATTACTTCTAATTTTAATTTTTCTAATTTTAACTTCCTGTTCAAATCTGTGAATAAAAGATTTAAACCTTGAAATCAAAGAAAGTTTTAAAAAATCAGTCAAAATGTAGGTTTAGTTGATGGCACATTGAATAATAACTCTAAATTAAAAAGTATACATGTGAAGATTTGTAATATTAGGATCTAAAGATTGAATCTATTTACATTTATGTGCAAAAAAATATATTAATATTTTATTGCTTTCAATGGAATAATTTTTATTGAATCACTATTCTAGATGTTGATGTTGCTGAAGATATGTCTGTTGATGCTGATGATACCAAATCAAATACTTTCTCACAATACTTGCAACATATGTCTCAACTTGACACAACTCAATCATGGTCGCCAGCTTCCCAAGCTACTACTATTGGCTCACAGAATACTGATTATTCACAGGTACTGATTATTCACAGGTTTAATGTAAACTAATTGAACTTCTTATTTTTTCATGATAACTTTATTTAAATAGAATTGAAGATATTGTACATGTGTAAATTCTTACTAATCATTTTAGAATGGTGATGAGTACATTTTACCTTGGTCTCGTCTGTTAACTCCACCTGGTCAACAAGCAATTGTCATTGCCAGAATGCATTCTTGTGCAAGGAGATTTGTTATCTTAGATTTTGGACGACCGGTTTTATTGACAGACTTGGTTTGTATAAATTTTGATATTTAATATGATAATCAATAACCGAAAATCATTTCATTTTTTAAAATTCGATGATGAAATTGAAATATATTTTTAACTAATATTTAATGAAAATTGAAACAAAGTATATTTTTCTTTATTTTAACATCATTTTGTTCTGCTTAAAATTTCAAGTTTTGCTTCTAGCTGTGATATGATAAAGTTCAGCTCATTAAAAACGATCAGGAGTTTGTACCTGAACTAATTAATGCCTGAATTATGTTACTATTTACAAATGTTTTCAGGCTATCCCATCATGCAATGAACTGATGTCATTGACATTAGATTACTGGATAACTAGTGAAGATGGTGAAAGCATCAGATTAGTTATGGCTTCTGATATCGGCACTAGGACACTTGTTATGAAAGATTTACAACCTGCACCTGTTTTACGTTTTTTGAAGGTACTTGACACATTAAAATTTAGTTTATGTACTTCATGTTTGCATATAATATAGTTTTGAGTTACATCTTTTTCTGTGGATAAATAATCTCTATTCTAGCTGACAATGATTGGTCGGTATGGCATGACAGCAACCAGTGTCAAATTATCAGCTGGTAGATATTACGGTCACAGCACAGTTTTAGAAGCTGATGCCTATTGCGAAAGTCCAGCAGGCCTGTCCAGCACATCAGTAGTAACTACTTCTGAAAGGGCGCGAACACAGTTGGCATCTTTAAACTCCTTATATGAGGATACAGCATGCAGGTAATATATATATATATATATATATATATATATATATATATATATATAAGCTAACAGTTATAATTTAAAGCAGTATAATTAAAAGAAAATCTGGACAATTATACCAATTTCTACACATTGTGTGAGTCTAGGAATCGTTTACATGATTCTTTAAAAAAATGTCATGTGCTAAATTATAGCATTTGTTTATGATCTTTTGATATTAGCATAGGATTCTTAAATTATTCAGTAGAGAAAGTATGCATTTTATATGTAACATAGTTTAATTGTGACAGTTGAAAATATATGTACATTGAATTGTATTAAACATTTAAACAATGTATATGAAGTAATTTACATGTGATGCATTAAGCAAAACAAAGATAAGTATATTTCAAATAATATTACCACAATTTTTAACTCTACAGGTATCGTTCAGCTTGTTGCAATTTGAGATCTATTTTGAGGCCATTGATGGGCCTTGCTCCATCTTTAGCTGAAAAATGCGCTGACGGGGAAGATGACAAAGTTATGATGGCTTATCAGGTTATAAAAGATTTTGATCAAATTAAAAAGTATTTTAGGCTCATTATTGTAGTGGATTTTGAAGAAAAAATTTAATGTATAATCAAAATTAATATTTTTTATTTATTTATTAAAACAATAAAGCTATAAATTTCTTAATTCAATATAATAAATTATAACTAATTGGGCCTTTTTTTTATTTTTACAGCATTCACATTTTTTTTATTCTTTTAATCTTTTAAGGAATGCATATCACTCCAGCAACAGTTAAGTGTTCTTCAATCTGTGACCTTACGTTTGCAAGAAGCGTGCAATGAGCAAAGTACAGAGCAGCAGATAATTAAAACTGAAGAATATATTTCACATAACGCCATAAGTTCTAGTGAATTTGACTTGGCTGCTGCTAGTTCTGATAAATTAAGGGTTCTGTGCGAAAGTTTGGTGGTTGTTTACCTGCGCTTACTTCAAAAAGCTAGTCCCAAGGTGAGATTTTTTTTGTCAATTTCTCATTTAATTGACGAAAAGATGAAATTTTGATATATTAATGATTGATATGTTATTATTTTAATATTTGATCTTTGACCAAAAATGTTTTGATATGATAATTTATTTAATTTGCTCATTAAATAGATTTTTTATGAAAATATATATGTTTGTGACCTTTTATACAAAACTGTTTCAAAACACTTATTAACCAGCACATCATATTTTTTATTTATTTATTTATTTTACAAGCCGTCGGTATAATAATTTTATAATAAGGCTTAAGTCAATATTTTGCAGATTTAATATAACTTAATTAACTATATTAACTATTTTATTACTAACTTATTTATTATAAACTTATTTATATTTAGTTAATTTCAATTATTTTTAAATATAACTAGTTTGTTTGTTGCAAGTATTTTTTAAAAATTCAATAAGTATTTTAATAAGCTTTACAATACTTTTACAATATAATTATTTTGTTTAACAAATTCTAGGCTGATTTTATGATATTTTAAAAAATTATTATTAAGTATTTTTACAATATAAGTATTTTCTTTTACAAATTTTTAGGTATTTTAATGAAAGAAATATTTTGTTTCACCATTTTTCAAATGTTTTTAAATTATAAGTTTTTAGTTAACTAATTAATAAGTATTTTAACAATAATAATCATATAAAAATATTAATTATAAAAAAAAAATAATAGTAATTTAGAAGTATTTTTGCAACAGAAGTATTTAGTTGTGACGAGCATAGTAGGCATAGACATGGCTGGTAGGTGACCTCAGTTAGTTTGGGCCCGTAAATTCGTAGGGATTTTTACAATCGTCGATCCATCGATCTTGCTGCTGCCTGTAATAGAGAAATTTCTTTGAGGGGGAAAAGTAGCGTAATGATTAGTTGAGATTTTCGGGAAAGTAATTTGAAAAATCGAAATTTAAAAACTCCTGAGGGCTATAAGAAGTTAAATCTTTTAAGGGGTTAGGGGTACTTGGAGGCACGAAAAAATGAGATTTTTCAGTATTTTTTTTTGTTATTAAACGATGTTTTTTTTACAAAAATATTCATACGGCATTATTATACAATGTTTTGACTTGAAGTAACAAAAATTTCAGAAAAAAAAATCCCAAAGTTATACCTATTTTTGTTGACCCTGTTTCAAAAAACGGTCCTGGCGGTTACCGTCATAACTCCTTAGAGATTCATCTAAAATCAATCAAATGAAAAAAATAGTTTTATAAATAGATAATCCTGGGCCTGATCGAAGGTTTTTTTTCAAAAATTAATAAAATGGCAGCTTCAGAAAAAAATCTAGATTTTTGGCTAAAAAATCAACAGTTAAATTGGTCTTAAAAAATTGAAATTTTTGAAAAAATAAAAATCCTTTGATCAGGCCCGAGTTTAGTATGTATTCTAAAAGCTGTATAAATTTCCTTAAAATTTACTAAGCGGTTTTTGAGTTACAGTGGTCACCGGTTCAAAAAACATGGTTTTGAGAAAGTTTCACATTGGTTTTACGTACAGAAATTCGAATTATTGAATTACTTAAACCGAATCATCTATATCTGGGCCATATAATAGTTCATCAGTCATTGTGTAAGTTTCCAAAATTTCCATTAACTGTTGCCTACGAAGCATTCTGACCACCCTGGTTCTGGTTCTCGTTGGCGCGCTGATCTGCCACCTTCACACGTGCAGCATCCAATTTTTCAGCATACCAATGGGAATTATACCCACAATTTGGTCCTAGGATATCCTTAATCAATAATAATGATTATGTATATGCAGGGCCGGTCCTGGGGTCCTTAGCGCCCGCATCCAACTTTTTTTCTAGGGCCCTCCCCCCCCTATTATTTTCACCGTTTTAACAGTTTATCATTAAAATTATATAAATATTTACATATTTTTTTAAAATTAATTTTTAATTATTCTGATAGCACACAAAAAATTAGATATAATTCAGATGAGTATAAAATATATTGATTTTAAATTTATTTATTATTATCGATATCAATAAATAAAACAATCCCTGCAATAATTTCACTTTTTAGTAATATTCAATATGTAGTAAATTGATTAAGGATGTAAGTTCGACTACCATAGCAAAAGAATTAATATTTTTGTTAGATTAAAGTTATAGAATTTAAGAAACGCATTTCATAAATAGTATTTATTATTTTGATATAAAGATCTTTATATCAAAATAATAAATACTATTTCTGAAATGCATTTCTTAAATTCTATAACTTTAATTTAACAAAAATATTAAGTGAAATAAATAAATTAATTTTTAATTATTCTGGATTTAGTGCACAAAAAATTAGATATAATCTAAAAGCGTGTAAAATACATTGATTTTAAATTTATTTAGAAAATCGAGGCAATTCGGGTGTTGATTATAATCAAGTATTTTGAAATATTCAATTATTATTAACGTATGTGCAATATTAATATTTAAAAAAACTAGCATTTAATTTTCAAATATAACACTCGTATTTCAAGTTGGATTTTTAAATTTTAATTTAATTTAATTTTTCATCATTTACAATATCCAAAATTGCGTCGTGAACTTTTTCTTATTGATATCGTAAGAGCCGTCATATTCAGAGAATCAGCTTATTGTTTTAAAGTTAAGTTTTTAACGTATTTTAGAAGTATTATTCAAAAATCAGTGAAAAAATGCAAAGAAATTACACATTTCTTGAACAATATTAAAAAAAAACGTATTATATTTGATATGTATTATTTCTGTATAGTTAACAATTATTAAATTTAGAGTATGGGCACCGCTAGGTATAAAACAAGCCTTAAGATTTTCGTTCCAAAGTAAATTTTGCTTCCAGTTTTCATATTTTCATATTTGTTCCACGCATTTCTTCAACATTCAAAGTTCAACAGATCCGAAACATTTGCAACAAAAGCAAAAATTACAATTCAATTTCTCGGAATAAACAAGTCATTTTCTAAGCACAGACTCCCCATTTTTTATAATCAGTTTATATTTTTTAACAAGTTCCGATTCAACTAAATCAGCTCGCAATTTTTCGTCAATAATGCTCAACAACTAATTTAATCTTTCGCAGGTTTGCGCTTATGGGATTGAACACTAGATAATTTCTTTTTCGATTCCACGGTAACTTCAAACAAAGAAAAAATTGAATAAGTAGAGTAAGCAATAAACAGGGCTGTTATTTACTAATTTGCAGAATTATTAATCGTTTAATTGTTTCTACTGATATCACATTGCAAAATAAACATGCTTTTTGTTTTTCCGTATCCCTAGTTAAGTTAAATTATTTATTATAATTTATTAAGTATTCTAGATTTTAAATAAATAATTCTAGATTTTATATAAAAAATATAAATATTATATTATATAATAAATATTTAATTTCCGAAACTCGTTTTGGCGCCCCCTAAGGCTTGCGCCCGCATTTTTTGCATGCATTGCATGCAAGGCAGGACCGGCCCTGTGTATATGTATTCAGCAATTTGTACGATAGTAGAACTAGTATTCACGGTTTTTAAGCATATTTTTTACACCAGTTGGTTGAAGCTTTTAATTTTTTTTCATTATGAATTCAATCTTGAACTACACATCTTGAAAGTAAATTATCATTGCTGAGATCGTCGTAAATTGGTTTAAAAGCTTTTAAAACATCAGGAGGTGAGGGAGAATAATTTTGAATATAAGTATCGAGCCTTCCACTTGCGTCAGCGCGCTGGTAAGAGTCCAATACTCAAAAATTAATAATCGGATCAACTTGAAATTTTTAAAAAACATTTTCAAGATATTACACTTAATGAAAATGCAAAATAATAAAAATCAATTTTTCAAAAATTCCAAGTACTCCTTACCCCTTAATGCATTGCTTAGTACTTTATGAAATTTCTTATTATCGTAATACGAATACGTAAGGGCAGTTTATTCATAAACTGAATACCCATACCGCAGATAGTATTAAAGAAACCATGTAGTTTATAGGTCCTACCTTTAATTATTTTATGTCTCGTTTTGTGCTTGGTATTTGACATCGAAGACAAATTAAAAAAGTCTGAATTATTTTTTATGAAATTAAGTGGGACTAGAACAAATATACTCTAAATTTTTTTGTTTGGTGAAGAAATTACGGCATGATGTCTTGGAGGACATTAAAAAATTATTCGAATTGCTCCCTTTTGCAGTTTGAAAACTTTAATTAGTTCGTTAGAGAAACCCCAAAATTGGATACCATAAGCAATATGTGAATAGAAATTTGCGTAATAAATAGAAAGTAAACCGGATATTCCAATTTTTGATTTAAGGGCTCGCAGGATAAAGCATGTATGCTTATAAACATCACAAACACAACATCTTAAGATTTTGCAGCATTTTCTTTTCTTTTTTGACTTTACAAAGAATATGGAAGTGTCTTAATCCTAAAAGGACATTTGTAACAGTATCCTCATTTAAATTACTTTCAGATGGCTTGTAATTTGGCGCGATTCATAGACCAAGAGGCATGCTCAGAGCTGTTCTCTACACTAGTTGTGCATGGTGACTCTGCACAGATATCTTGTTGTGCCCTTCTAAGTACGGCATGCAGTAATAGAACTTGGTGGGGCACGTTTTTGGCTGATTCGTTGAAAACATTATATTCATCTTCTTGTACACAATTATTCCCGAAAGAGCGGTATGTTATTTAGACATTGATTAAAATTATATCACACTTTTAATTCACTGTGTAGATTCCACCGTGTGCTTTTTTATAAATTAAAATATTTAAAAATTTGGCTGCATCTGTTGAAGGCTATGCAATATTTTCAAATGTTTGATTATAAAACTTAACAATTTTTTTTATCGTAATCTGATTTTGCAAAAGGATTATACTTATCATATTATTACATTAATTTAAGAAAAGGCTGATAGAAGTAGTATGTACATCATGATACAGAAGGAACTCAACATATTAAATGCAAATGAAATAATATAAATTAACTTTTTTGCTTTGCCTGAAATTAGTATATAATTTAAAAATATTATTCTTTATTAGCTCAAGCGCAAATAAGTCATTTACAGTACAAATTGTTTTTAGGGTTTTTCTACTTTTAACCCACCTTGGGCGACGTGGTAACCCTCGAAGTCGTGTTTTGGATGCAGCACTACTTGCTCTTCTTCAATTGCTTGCTCCTATTGCCCCCATCAACCAATCTGCAGCAGGTGCAAGAGCTGATCAACATCAGCAAGTTCATGAAGATGAGCTGAGTCCACTCAGTGCAAAAATTGATTTATCTCTACTTTCTTGGTTTTTGCTGTATTTATCAGCTAGCTTGGATGATGGAAAAGAAGTTAATAGTAAGTAAATTTTTTGTAAGATGATTTAGTACAATTTGTTTCATTTTTTCAAAAAAAAAATTAGATACATTTATTCTCTAAAAATGAAATTAATAGATTTAAAAAAAACTTTATATACTGTATTTGTATAATTATTAAATGTTGTGTATATCAAACATTTGCTGAACAAGATATTTTTTATGCATAATAATGCTGTAGCAAATAAAATGCTTAGTTGTTTCAAATGCTTATGCATTTTTTTTTTAGGTTCCCGATGGGAATTCATGTCGGGTCAAACTTGTACACAACGAACTCGATCAGAATCTGAGCGCAATCAAGAGAGGACTGGTGCTACCAGAGTGTATCGCCGCAAATTACAAAAACGTCTTATGCATCACAAAATTCAACTTGACGATTTAGAGTCTGCCAAAAAAGCATTTCAAGCTTCATCACAGGTTATTTATTTATGACTTTGTTTTTCATAAACTTGAATTAGTTCTGAATTAGAAAGCTTACTAATAATTAATTCAACTCTAAATTAGTAATAATAATTACGTTTGAGATGCTAATATGTGCTATGTAAATTCATAGAATGTGTTTGTTTCTGTATGTATACTAGCATACAGTTTACTTAACATATTTATTTGTATAGAACCAGTTGATTATTTATAGTATTCTTTATATTGTTTGGTAAAAATATTTAATGGTAAAGTTAAAATGTTTGTGTCTTAGGCTTTCTCAAATTTATCATCACAAGCTTCAAACTTATCTGCCAAATTAGATGCCGCACTAAAACAACAAGAAAACGTTCTCAAGAAATCTTTGAAGCTACATGCCCAAAAATATCCATTCAAGGTAACTTATAATTAATTTGCAAATTCTTATAAATTATCACGTATCATATTTTAACTGGTTTTTAGTAATTATGATATCTAAATTACATTTTTCTTGTTGTTAGTAATAATTTAATATACAGTAGAACCTCGGTTAACCGGACTAATTGTTGTCGATAGGCAATTGGATAATCGAATGTATGAAGAATAATGTTGTTTATTAAATATTACAAATACATACATAGATATCAACGAAAATCTGCTTTATAATAAATATAATATCTGCCTCTTGCTCAATGTTTCGATTGCTTCTATCATAAAAGTCCTAGAGGATGGGTACCATTTGAATACCGTAATAAAAATAAAAAATAAAACTCGTAATAAAAAATTAAGCTTTTTCATTAACCTTGAAAAATCTTAATAGAAATTCAGAGAGAAAAGTTCACAAGAAGCAGTTCTTGATCAGGTTAAAAATGATTAATGAAATTGGGCTGTGTAGGAAAGTAAAAATTGAGGGCTGCATCTATGTATTTTTCAAACACGCATTTTAAAAGTAGTTCAGAAAATTGATCAAATACATTAAGAATTCAGTTTTTCAGTTAACAACTATTTATGAAATGATTTTTCTTTTCTTCTGAGCTTTTTCATAAGCTCAAAACATCTCAATCGAAATTCTGTCAAAAATGTTACACTTACAGAAATCGAGATGAAAAATGACGTCATTACTATAATAATTCTTACAAAATAGGGGTTTGGGGTAACAAGATGAAAATTTAGGATTATATGTGCTTTTTAAATCATGCATTATAAAATGCATTATAAAAAAATAAAAAATAATAATTGACGCAAAAAATAAAAGTTCTTTGGGGTGGCCTACTCTTATCACTTGGTGTCAATACAAATATGCGAAAACCTGTCCAGTGATGTACCTAATTTTCACAGCGATTGTTTGTATGGTTTATGAATGCATAACAATTACACACACATACACACAGACATACATCTATTTTTATAATAATAAATGGTGTTCTGCTCTTTTATAATGGTCCATGGTGTGAGAGCCACCACAAATAAATGATTCACTTACATTTTCTAAGGTATGTTCAAAAACCTTTGAAACGTAAAGATATGTAAAAAATTTCATTTTGAAGTTAATAAAATTGGTTCCAAAATTTAAAAAAATAGACAACCCATTATAAAAATAAATAGTTTTTCAAAGTAAAGAGAGTTCTATGTATTTTTCAATCTCAAAATATAGAAAATTAAAATAAAGAAATTTGGTCAAAAAATTAAAAAAGTATTAGGTTTGGACAACCCTTAATAATAATAAATTGTATTTCCAAAAAAAGCTTTTTCTTCAAGCTTAAAAATCTCAACTAAAATTATGTCAAAAATATTCAATGGCTGAACTTGAATTGCTGAAATGGCTATAAACAAATAGAAGTTGGTGATAAAAAAGTAAAAATCTTGGGTTGCATGTATTTTTTAATGCCACATTGTAAAAAATTAAAAACAAAAAATTCCGTCCAAAAATTACAAAAAAAATAATTTATAGTGAACAACCCTTATCACTTAGGTGTATGAAAAGTAGATAGTTAACGATTCTCTGACCTACTGAATATGCATATAAAATTTAATAATGATTGGTAAACCCGTTTCGGAAGAGTACGGGACCGAACTTTGTGACCCGAGAACTTTATATTATATATAAGATATATTTCTTGGTTTGATTACTGAATGATGACACACAAGTGTCGAAACGTTTAATGGAATAAAAAAAAATCTATTTAATCTTCTTAATTTGACGATTGGGCTGTAAAAATAATATTTCAAATATATATATATATATATATATATATATAATATATATATATTTTTCAAATACATAATATATTTGAATAGTCTTGAATTTGATGTTGATATACGTTTAATTTGAGTTAAAAAGTCGGGCGTTACATCATTAAAAATAGTATGAGAGTTTTTAGAAATTTATTTATTTAAATCCCTACGTTTCGGCTAGCATCTTAACCCTCATTCAGTGGCAATCATTTCAAATTTTGTATCCTATATAACATATGAAAATTATTAATCCATGATATGAGTATGTGCACATTGGTAAAGTATTTATTTTTAACATCACAAATGGTAAACCAACAAATAAACATATAACTTAACATTTATTACTGTTCGGAGTTTAAGATAGAAATGTTCTATTTAACTCAAATTAAACATATTAGATCAATATCAAATTCAAGACTATTCAAATATATAATATATACACACCCACATATATATATATATATATCACTAAATATCTATCTTTATAATATATATATTATACATTATATTATAATATATATTATACATATATATTATATATATATATATATATATATATATATTTTTTTTCAAATACATAATATATTTGAATAGTCTTGAATTTGATGTTGATATACGTTTAATTTGAGTTAAAAAGTCGGGCGTTACATCATTAAAAATAGTATGAGAGTTTTTAGAAATTTATTTATTTAAAATCCCTACGTTTCGGCTAGCATCTTAACCCTCATTCAGTGGCAATCAATTTCAAATTTTGTATCCTAATATAACATATGAAAACATTATTAATCCATGATATGAGTATGTGCACATTGGTAAAGTATTTATTTTTTAACATCACAAATGGTAAAACACACAAATAAACATGATAACTTAACAAGTTGTATTTACTGTTCGGAGTTTAAGATAGAAATGTTCTATTTTTAACTCAAATTAAACATATTATATCAATATCAAATTCAAGACTATTCAAATATATATATATATACACACCCACATATATATATATATATATAATATATAAATATATATATATATATATATATATATATTATATATATATATATATATATATATATATATATATATATATATATATATATATTTGAAGTATGTGAGTTTGGTGTTGATATATATTTTGATGAGTTATTTAGATTCGGTCAGTAACACCAAGTAAAAAAAAACTAAAGTAGTTTTGAAATACTTTATTTATCCATTTATCTTTATTTATCGTTTCGGTCTTCGTCGAGACCGTCATTCAGTGGAAAAACTAAAAGATTTTATATAATGGAGGAAAATAATATAAAGTTATAGAACTTATATATAAATACTTACATAAAATTAATTCTACAAAAATATACTACACTATTACACTGTGATAAACAAAGCTATTAATAACTGGAACATTTAAACTAATTATTTTTTTTGACAATTTTTTTGGTTACATTCTAGTGTGCACATTGACTAACGTCTAAAAACTGAATGAATTGTGTTTACAAATTTTGCGGAAGTGTAAAGATACCGGAAAACATATGTTTTCAGTAAAATAATAAAATACACGCTTCATTCAGATATGGTGGTGTTTTGAAAAATGGTCAAGGATTATTTTGTAGTCATTGCAAAGCGAATTGTTGTCCGTTCTCTTATTTATGACCATCTCATTGTGTAAAGATATTAGACATTCTTCGCTAAATCTTCTTTTAAATAAATTATCGTGGGATTGGAAAAATCTATGTTATGTTTGAGCTGATTAATGTGATCCGTTAGTTGTGTTTTATACTGGTTTTTATTTTTAGAGTTATTTTTATGTTGTGATGTTCTTTTATGCAAGTTTTGACTGGTTACAGCTATGTAAATGCAATTACAATCTAGGCAATTAAGCTTATAAACTATAGATTACTTAGGATTCTTGGGTTAAATTTCGATTTTAATTTTGTAAAAAGAGTTGCAAGAGTGTTTTTGGAAGTACAAACTACTCTGATATTATTTTTACTGAAAAGTTTTCTACACGGGTAATGTAATTCTTTAATGAAAGGTTAAACTTATAGTTCCGACGTAGTTTTCATGGTTTGGATTTTCAATTGAAATATTGTGACGGTTTTGGAGATATAGGATTCTTTTTTTTTTGTTATGAATTGGATCAGGTGTTGTGGGTAGGAGTTGTTAGTTAGGATTTGTGAAATGAGAGAGAGATTTTTTCTTAAAAATTTACTGTGTGATAATAATAATGCGTGGTCTATTAAGTTTATGATTGTGCCTATTTTGATAGAGAGGGGATGGTAAGAGTGGTAATTAAGATAACGGCCTGAGTATGTTGGTTTGTGATACCAATACCAATATATATATATATATATATATATATATATATATATATATTGTTAATGCATTTACTTTATATTCTGTTATTTATAATTACATGCTCTATATTTTCTTAACCAAATTAAATAACATATATTTAAGAAATTTTGAGTGAATAGGCCTTAATTTATTCTTTCATATCAGCAGTTTGTTTCTATGACAAAAAATTATTAATTATTTATGAAAATAACTATTGTTTATCAAATTACAGACCCCATCATCGCATCAGCAATCATCTACAGATGCTGGAGAGACGTTTCATAATAACAATAATAACAATAGTACACCTGGTGGATCTTCATCTGCACCGGCAGCACCATCTGACAACATAACATCATCCTCTGATGTTTCAGCACCACCTCTCGATATGTCCCCTCCTGATCCTCTGCATTGCTTGGCGGTATGCAGAGCATTGCTTGCATTATTACTTAGATTTGATTCTACTTGTGGAGCAGACATTTTCTTGTTGACTTGCAAGGTGATTTGTTTGCTAATTTATTTGCTTATTTAAAACTGAACAGTTATCTAATGCAAACGAAACAGTTTATACATTCATATACACATAGGCATAGTTAATATGAGAGAGATAGGGTTGTTGTTTATACAATTAGTTCTGCTCATTTTGGTTAAATAGTTCTTAAAACTGTAATTGAAATTCTATATATAAGTTCAGTTTTTGTTTGTATATTTTTTATATTACATTACATACTATTAACTTCTATTTAACTTTGATTTATTTTTCATTTTTGTTTTTGTAATGCATAGTAGTGACGAACTTATTCAGTATTAGTATCAGGATTTCTGATGCATGTATAGATTTTGAATAAACCTATAAATCACTTAACCATTAGAATAATAAACTAAACATAAGTATTACATCTGCCATCTTGTTACATTGAATTTTTATAAATTAGGTCTTGGCAAAACTGGTTACGAGTTGCAGACCAGCTATAACATTAGGACAATTGGCTACTTCTCATCAATTGCAACTTTTGATAAGACGTAGTGTCTGGACCGATGGCAGGCGGCCGCAGTGGGCTGGACCTTGGGCACAGCATGCAGCAACTTGTCTACTGCAAGTGAGTTATTTCATGAATGATTTTATATAAAACATTTGTTTCAAAACTATTTTACAAATTTATTAATAAAGCAGCACCAAGTATTAAAATATTTCTCATATAATTCCATTTTTAAATTGTATAGTGTGGTTACCGCATAATTATAAATTTGCTAGATTCATGTAAGAAATTTTATTTTTAGGACTTGGTAGAAACTGAAACCAAAAAGGAATTATCTGAAACAATGTCTAGCCGAAATGACAGTTCTGCAGAGTTTAGTGTCAGATTTTCTGATTCAATACGAGCCTGCCATACTGCACCTCTTTCGAATCTTGATATAATGTCATTGGATGAGCCAGAAGATGAAGCAAATGGACCTCTTGGTGACTTTTTTCTTCATAAGAATTTTAGTCTGATAAATCTGCCTGATACTTTACAGTTCAAATGTTATGTTATAAATTACTTAAAATTAACTTTCCAGTGTATTAAATTGTCAATATTTTTATATTTCTTTAGTATTTTAAATCTAAATATCATAAATAGTTTGGTAATGAATAATGAATAATGGCAATATTCTAGCAGTACCTTCACATTTGATCGTGAAGCTCTAAAGAATAAAATATGACTGTAATAATCTATTTTAATTTTTGAAAATCTATTTTTCTAACCATTAATTATAATTTTTATCAAAATATAGTCGGTAAGGGTCAGCTACCCTCTCTCATAGAATCTGACGATTCTGAACTAGAGGAATTTTTGGATGATGTCATGGATCGTGGAAGGAACTTGTTGCGACGTAGTGAGCAGTCGTCACGAAATTACATCATACCTAGTTCGAGGTATGCCTAAACTCCAAAAAATTTTATATACATATCTTTCATAGCTTTGAAGAAATATATGTATATATGCATGTATGTACTAATTTGTCAGAAATAAATCAATATTGACAATTTTAAAATTTTAATGCTTGTTATATGTCAAAATTCAGCAAATCATACCAGGAAGAACAAAACAAAATTAAACACCAAAACAACGAAAATTAGAAAATAAGAAATAATAGTTTTCACATTTAACAAAAAATTTGATAAGAAATTATCAAAGTTGAGTTGAGAGGAAAGAATGATTAAATTTGATGTTAAGTCATTTGTAGTTTTCAAATTGCCACTTGATAACTTGATAATCATGTAATGTAAAAAAGAGTTAACAGTTCATTAATACAGAAAATAAATGAAGATAGTGCACCAAATCATTTCAAATTTCGTTCAAATAACAAGAAATTATGTTGACCATTTAAAATTTTATAGGTTATATGTGTAAGTAATTTATGAATGTCCCTATGGATACATACATTTCAAAATTTAATATTGTTGGCTTGACTTGATTGTTTTTTGCTCAGTGTATCAATCGCCTTGGATGCACGACTCGAAGGTGGACTAGACTCATCAAGCGAACTGATGTTGCGAAGACTAAAATTATCAGCTTTGACAAAATCAGTAACACCATCCTCTCCATCCTCACCAAGCACCAATTCTAGTGAAAGCCCGGTTAGTATAGGCACACCGAGTTCTCTTACGCCCGAAGATCATGTACAGTTAATGAATTGGATTGCTTGGCCCGACATATATTCAGATCCGGTACCAAGTGCTCCAACTTTACTCTCGCCTTGCTTTGATGCATTATTCACTGATCTACACATGCAGGTACAGTTTTTATATTTTCAAAAAAAATTATGGTTGAATGTTTGTATATCTTAATTTATAAAAAATGATATATTTTCACATTATGAAAAGTATTAAGTAATAACTAATTTTGAAATATATACATATTTTTTTAATTGTGCAATTGGAAATGTACTTGAAGCGTTTTTATAAAAATTTATAGTTTTCTGTCATTTATATCACAAGCTGTATATATTATTATTTACAAAAAAGTTTTTTTTAACGAGTTTAGCTATTCAATTAAAATGGATGGTTATCTTTTAAGTGTTGAAATATATTATAGTACATGTTTTATATTAAATGTCATATTATTTTTTATAGACCGGTGCTAATTTGGAGGCATTGTTACGTCTTTGGACAGCTATTAATGACCAAGCTCGTTGTAAAATTTTGCTCAACCTGACTTCTCTTCAGAAGCTGGTTTCAGCCTTGGCATGGTAAGCTAACATTATTTTTACTTTGAATTTAACAAATACAACTATGTCTGAGGCAAAAAACATTTTCATTGCTGTCATGCATACTTGTTCTAAAATTTAGTATAAGTGTATTTATTTAAAGTAATTTATTAAATTACATATTTATACAAATTGGTATATGACAAACCATATTCTCGAATCATGTATAATATTAATTATCTATTAATGAAAAGTGCAAATGCATAATATAAACATATATAATTTGTTTTGTTCAGTAAATGTCTGAAGAACACAATTTTTAATAGGTTGGATGCTATTCCGTTACGTGCATGGTCCTTGGGTTTTCAATGCTTGTCTGCTGGAGTCTTGTTAACAGATGTTTTAGGGGGACAATTAATTCCAAAAGAAGCAGCAGCTAATCTTCTTGATGAATCAGATTTTAGAGCCATGATAGTTAGATTTTTATCTGGAGATGGCGATAGCACTTGTGTGAGTTCAAATACAGTTATTAAAACCTTCAGAATTTAAATAGAGAATTTTAAGAAGAATATGACATGAATGTAGGAATGTAATGTTATTGCAAATTACAGAAATTTTATTGCACATTTTTTTCTTTTAAAATAATCATTACATGCATTATGTCTATATAATTGAAGTATGCTAAAAGAATACAAAGTTGCAATTACAAAAATTCTCAACTACTTTTATCAATAGTGGATGGATTTTAAATCATCCATAAAAGATTATAATAATATTACAAGAATGGGTTGTTAAAATTAATATACTGCAGCAGGCCGGACCAACAGCTTGTCAGGCAATGTACAAATGCCTATTACGATTGAAATCTCGGTGTGAAGATGACTCACATTTTCGAAATGCAATGTTGAGAGTTTTGTTGCGATTGCTACGACCTGGGCAACCAGTGGCATTACAACAGGGACCACAAGATGCTCAGGCCAGATTTGTACATGGCTTGCTTCATGCTGGTTACGAGAGATGCGATCTTGCTACTGCCATGACTGTCATAGAGAGTATAGGTTTGTACTATTGTGCTTATTGAACATGACAAATTTATAATGCATAGACTTATGGCAACAGAGAATCTTTTTGTTATAATAATAGACTACAGTTTTCTTTTTCATTCAAATTTATTTTGTAGGTGCATTGGTTGCTGCTCACACTGCGCGTTGTGAGCGTGTTCGGTGCCGCAGCATAGCAGATGGTTCATTATCATCTTCCGCTTTTGCATCTTCTGGGTTTACAAGTAGTAGTTGCTTTGGAAGCCTGTTTGCTTCTGTCTTGGATACTGGCTCATCTAGTAACACGTCTTCTCAACAGTCTGGATCAAAGGTCAAAAATGATACAGCAATTGCTAGTGCTCATGGAACTGGCAAAAATGCCAATACTGAGGCATTGCTGGTTGCCTTACTAAGACTTGCAAATAGATTAGTTTGTACTCCACTAACATCTACAGTCAGTACAGATGTCACAGTGAGTTTAATAATGTGTAAAATCTGTTCAATATACACACACATATATATATATATATTATAACAAGGATATTTTCGAATTTCTTTGCTCCCAGTGGCGCAATTGCGTCCAAATCGAAAAAAAATGATTCTCTGAAAGTTTTAGCTCTTTTATAAACATTTAGATAGAGCGCACAATAAAATTTACTTGCATATATTTGTTTCTAAGATTTGCGTTAAGAAGTGTTCAATCGGTAAATTTGTGCGCCATTGTGACATTGATCGTGAACTCAAATCTTATGATACAAAGAATATTTATAAACCACATAACATGCACATAACCTCTTAAAATACTGTGAGCTGTTCTATAAATCTATTCATCATGGCATCAAGAATAATTTTGCAGCAAATATTTTATTTAATTGGTGATGTTGATACTCAAATTGTCAGTAATAAATACCATCAAAGTTACAGAACAGCTCACATGTATTTAATAAAAGGTTATGTGCATGTTATGTGGTTTATAATATTCTTATGTATCATAGATTTGAGTTCACGATCAATGATCACAGATGGCGCACAAATTACCGATTGACCTTCTTAAGCAAATCTTAGTAACAAATATATGCAAGTAATTTTTATTTGTGCGCTCTACCTAAATGTTTATAAAAAGAGGCTCTAAAACTTTCAGAGAATCATTTTTTTTCGATTTAGAAGCAATTGCGCCCCTGGGAGCAAAGAATTCGAAAATGTCCTTGTTAAGGACCACCCTAATA